AGCACTCGGGAAGCAGAGGCAGGTGTATCTTTGTGAGTTTGAGGCCAGCCTGGTCTACAGAGCTAGTTCCAGGACAGGCTCCAAAGCTACAGAGAAACCCTGTCTCGAAAAACAAAAACAAAAACAAAAAAGAAAAGAAAAAAGAGAAAGAAAGAAAGAAACCAGGAGGTAAGAGAAGAAATGGAGGGAAGAAGAAAGGAAATGCTGACCCTTGGCCAACACACAAGCACACGGGGTGCATGCATATACCAGTGTGCATAAAATACACACACAAGAAATAAATAAAAATAAATAGTTTTAAAGAAAACTTAATGAGCTCCTGTCTCGATAGAAAAAGGATTGGGGTTTATTTAGCCCATGGATAGAATACTTACCTAACATGTGAGGCCCTGGGTTCCACCCACAGCAGAGCAAACAGTAGCATTGATATGAGTCCAAGTGAATGGCACCAGGAGACACTCTGCCGTAGACTGTGGACTTTGAGTGCCTAGTGTGTCAATAGAGTCTCATCGATTGTCACTTCTGTGTCACTTTCATGTAGGGTATTGACAACAGGAGACTCTGTATGTGTTGGGGCAGGGGTTTGTTGGGGGGTAGCTTACAGTAAGTATATACTTTGTGCTCAGTTTTGTCTTGAACCTAGAACTTTTGGGGGAAACTGAGGCAGGAAGATCACTAGTTTGGAGCCAGCCTGGACCACATCAAATTTATTAAAAATTAAAGTGGACTGAGAATTCTGTAATCCCAGATTTAGGAGCCTGAGGCAGGATTATAAATTCAAGCCAATTTGGCTACATCGTGAGGCCGTATTTCAAAAGAGGGTGGAAGACTAGTGATGTAGTTTGGCCCAGCATGCTTGAAAGTCTATCTATTAAATAAATAGTAAATAAACTCTTTTAACAAATCAATTAATCAGCTGGGTATTGGTGGTGCATGATTTTAATCTCAGCACTTGAGAGGCAGGGGTAGGTGGATCTCTGTAAGTTAGAGGCCAGCCTGGTCTACAGAGCGAGTTCAAGGACAGCCAAGGATACTCAGAGAAATCCTGTCTCCAAAAAATAAAAAATAAATCAATTTATCTTGGTAACTGGGGTTATCAGGGTTACCTCAGCAAAATCTTCACCCAAGTACCTTCCCTGGGAGAACACAAAGCCTATATACTTTGCTTTTAAGTTTATTTATTTCTGTATGCATTTATTTTGTGGAGGTAGGGGTACACGCTACAGCTCATGGGGGAGTCAGAGGACAGTCTTCAGGAGGCCGTTCTCTCCTTCCACCATGTGGGTTCCAGGGACTGAACTCAGGCCCTTATGTTTGGTGGCAACAAGAGACTTAACCTGCTGATTCATCTTGCTGGCTCCAGTCCACATACTTCAGCGGACAGAGCCACTCATACATCTTTGGAAACCTGGATTTAAAGGAAAATATTGCTTCAAACTCCTCTGAGAAGTAGGACCCACTCAATTCCATGCTTTCTGAACTGTTTCTGTATGCCGGGCTTGGTCCTGGGTGATCACAGGTCACTAGAAAGAGAGTAAGTAGGCCTGGAGATGCAGCTCAGTTGATAGATTGCTCAGCAGGAGGGAATCCCTATGTCTGGTTCCCAGCACCACATAAACAGCTGTGGTGGTGAATGCCTGTGTTCCTAGCATTTGGGTGCTGCAGCAGAAGGCCATAATTCAAGGTCATAGGGAGTTATACAGCCTGGGCTACAGGAGACCCTGGAGAGAGGGAGGAAGATAGATAGATAGATAGATAGATAGATAGATAGATAGATAGATAGATAGATAGATAGATAATAGAACAAACTAGTGAACAAGAGTAAGAATATCTGGTAGGTGAGCAGGCCCTGGGGTGGCTCCGTGGGGAATTCCAGGTCTGGCCCAGTCTGGGCTTCCCCAGCCTAGCCTGGGACTTGCCTCAGGATGAGTCCCTAGCCTGGTGGGTCTCTTAGAAAGTTGTGAAGCTGGTTTGAGGGTGGGAAGCCAAGAGGGAAGCAATTTCCATATAGCCCAGCCTTAGGGTGCCCGCCCCACCTGATACCAGAATAAAGAGGAGCATGATCTGGCCGGGGATCCCAGCACTTAGGAGGAAGCAGGAGGTTTTTAAAAAGATCCAGACCGAGGAAGGCTACAGAAGAGGGTCGAGGACAGCCTGGAAGGGGAGGAAGTGGAGAGAGGCCATTCAGCTGGACTCAGACATCAGTACCCAGGGAGGAGGATGGCTCTCCCACGAACGGGAAACAGACAGAGTAGTCTCCCTGCTACAGCAATCCAGGTAGGTTCCTAGGCTGAAACCAGAGCCCTGTTTTTTGTTTCATCAGGGGCTGGAACTGGGTTGGGAGGAGGCAATCTTCAAGAGCCAGGCTCGGTGACTCTATCTGTAATTCTAGCAAAAGCAGGAAGATTGCTCTATGTTCGAAGCCAGACTTGGGGACAGAGGAAGACCCTTTCTCAAGACACAAAAGACAGAAGACAGAGAAGATGGCTCAGTGGGTCAGAGCACTTGCTGTGCAAGCGTGAGGGGCTGAGTTAGATGCCCCCCCCATTTCTACCATGTTAAAAAGCCAGTAAACCCAGCATTTGGAAGCAGAGATAGACAGTAGATCCTGAGAGCTTGCAGCCAGTCTTATACTTAATAATGATCTCCTGGTTCCAGGCGGACCCTATCTCAAGGCAATTAGACAGACGGGGATAGAAGAAAATACTGATATTTTCCTCTCACTCTGAATGTGCACACATGGGTCATGCACTCATGTACATACATCACCCATACCCGCACACACGAACACACACATGCATAGACTTAAACGCTCTCAGATTTTTTTAAAACCATGGCCAGTGAGATGATTTAGAGGGTAAAGGCACTTGTCCCTAAGCCTGATGACCCGAATTTCATCACTGAGACCCACAGAGCAGGAGAGAATCCGTGTCCACAGTCCTCGGCCATACATGCACCATGGTGCTGTGCACTTGCCAGCGATGGGGGGATTAAAAGCAGAGGAAGAAGAGGAAGAACCCAAGCCCTCCAGCATCCTGCATGAGTGCGGGGTGAAGCACAAGAGATGGGGTGGTACTAACCACAGGCTTCCTCTCTCTACTTGCTAGAGTGTGGATGTGAAAGATTCCGGGAAGGCTCCCACGTTAAAGGCTAGTGCCCAGCATGTGGTGCTAGAGGTGATGGAATCTTTAAGACAAGCGGGCTAGTGGGAGGAAGTCACCAAAGGGGACTCGACCTTTCCTTGCTCTCTGCTCTTTCGTCTCAGCTTCTGTGAGGTAAGCAGCTTTCTGCAAGATACGTTCCTCTCTCTTTACAGGCTCAAGCAGTCAGGCAGACCGACCAAGGGTTACAACTACCGAAACTGTAAGACCAACATTATCTTTCTTCCTTAAAAACTGTTTATGTCTCTGGGTGTGATGGCTCGTGCCGTTAATCCTAGCGCTCAGGAGGCAGAAATGGAATAGATCTTTGTGTTTGAGGGTCAGATCTACATTACAAGTTCTGAGACAGCCTGACTACATAAAAAGACTACATAATAAGAGAGAGAGAGAGAGAGAGAGAGAGAGAGAGAGAGAGAGAGAGAGAGAGAGAGAGAAAGGGGAAAGAGAAATGAAAGGAAAAAGTCTCAGATAACAAAACTATACTTGCCAGCCAGCATAGTCTGTCTTACCAAGCCGCTGAGAGGTTCTTCTAGAGGCAGACGGTAGCTACAGAGCTGTCACTTTTGAGACAGGGCAGAGTACACTAGATAGATTGACACTAAAGCAGCACTCCAAAGAATGGGAAGAATTTAACCTGGGTGTAGTAGTACATACCTCTAATCCCAGCACTCGGGAGTCTCAGGTAGGAGGACCCTGAGTTTGAGGCAAGCCTAGACTACATGGTAACACCCTGTCTCAAAAGAAGATGTAAAAAGATACCAGTGTGATGACACACACACACACCTATCAACCCAGTACTGTGGGGCTGTGGAGATGGGAGGACTGGGAGCTCAAAACCAGCCCGAGCTGAGAGAGATTCTGTCTCAAGGGGGAAAAAAAAGTAAATTGGGGCTGGAGAAATGGCTCAGTAGTTAAGTAGTTAAGAGAATTTGTTTGCTGGGGACTTGATTCCGATCCCAGTACCCACATCAGGTAGCGCACAACAACTTGTAACTGCAGTTCCAAGGGACCCAAGGCCTTCTTTTGTCTTTCATAGGCATTGTACTTTCATTGGAAAACCCACAGGTGGTGGCCGCTGTAACAGGTGGCAAGGGCTGTGTCACAGGCCTTTAATCTCAGCACCGGAGGCAGGTGGATCTCCTAGGCTGAGGAAAGCCTGGTCTACAGAGCGAGTTCCAGGGCTACATGGTGATACGCTGTCTTGAAAAGGAAACAAAACAAAACCAAACAAACAAAAACCCACATACATACAAACACGTGTTAGCAATTAAAATAAGTTGAATAGAGGGATGTTTTGGAAGGTAAAGGTATTTTCTGCAAGCCTGACACCCTGAGCTTTATCTCTAGATCTTGAAGTGGAAGGAGAAAACCGACTCCCAAAAGCTGTCCTCTTATCTCCAGTGTCATGCCTGGCATATGCTCAAGCATACACCCATCTCATGGGCACACACTCTGCCCACATTCGAATTTAAAATTGAAGGTCTTTATATATAGTTGTTCTTTTTCGAGACAGGGGTTTTTCTCTGTAGCCCCGGCTGTCCTGGAACTCACCATGTAGAACAGGTTGGCCTTGAATTCACTCAAGCCTTTTAAATAAAATCAAATAAAATGTAAAAGGGAGTCAGGGGATAGAGTTCAAAGGTACAGTGTTTGCCTGGCATGCACAAAGCTCTAAGTTTAATCTCCAGGGCTGGGAAAAAATTAATTATATATTTTTATATTTTTTTAAAGGCAAGGGCACGGACATTTCTGAGTTTGAGCTTCCCAGTCTACAGGCTTCTCTTGGCATGGATCTGACTTACTGACCTATCAGGTCACTCTGGGCGGGAACAGGACAGGATGGCGGAGACTTTGAGACCTAAATAACCTTGATCCAGGCACTCTACTCCCACACTCTTAACTCTGCTGGGGTGAGTGTGCGGTCCTGCTGCGCTTTGTTAAGTCAGGTCAATTCTCACGCCCCTCTCTTCCCAGCACCTCTGAGATTCTCTGCTGGGCCTCTGCACTGGAACTGGAGCCCCACAATGATGAAAGTCCAGGGTGTCCTCTGGATTTTGCTTGGACTGTTGCTGTGGCCAGAGTCAGAGACAGGTGAGTTCAAGGGTAGAGGCCTTGGGGGAGGGGAACTTGTTTTGTTGAACCTTAGCTGGTCAAGGCTCCAGCTCTCAGCAAACTGCTATTAGGGCACCACACGTTTCCAACACCCATAGAGTCAAGGAAGGGGTGTCAGAGAGTAGACAAGGCCGGGGTGGGGGTAGGGGGTGGAAAGGTTAGGAACAAAAATCAAGGGTAGCTTCCTGGAGAAAAACCTCACACAACTAGGATGGGAGGAGCGAGAGCTGGGTTTGGTTGAGAAGCAGAAAAGACCTGATAATTTAAGCAGAAACAAAGTTACAGAATGGATTGCCCTCCAGATGCTAGGGTACAGGATTAAAATGACCTGGAGGCTCTGGGTGTGGAACAAATTGTCTGTATTCCCAGAACATGGGACAGCAGGAGGACCTTTAGCCGGGGATATATAATGAGTTAGAGGCCGGCCTGCACTATATAACAAACCCTATAACAAAAGAACCAACCTTCCTAGATGCAAATTAAACCTCCTGCACTTCCTAACTGCGTGACCTAAAGCAGCTAACATGTCCTCTCCATCTCAGAAGCTTCATCTGTAAACAGGAAGTTTTGTGAGAATTAAATAAATTTTATGTATCACTTAGAGTGATGTCTGACACATAGTTAATGTTTAAATAAACATTGCTGATTATTCAACAACCCCTAACTCTGCTGTGAACCTGGTAACCTAACATCTAGATTCCCTCTCTTGAAAAGGGAAAAACACATTCTCCTCTCCCCATGGGCTGTTTGTTTGTCTGTCCATCTGTCTGTGTGTCTGTTTGCTTGAGGCAAGGTCTTACTTTGTAGCCAGGAAAGGTTGGAACTATGTAGTTCAGGCTAGTCTTGAACTTGTGGTGGTCCTTCTGTCTCAGCTTTCTTGAGGGCTGGGATTACAGGCATGAGCCATTGTACTCAGCTTCCTTGGTGTCATGTGACTACTTCCGAATAGATAACGAACATCTTATGCACCAAATAGGGTATGAATGGCGGACCAAAGAAATTATTCCGCTCAGTGAGCCAGTGTGTTTACTTTGGGTTACTTATAGGAATATGGGTGATTCAAATACAGCTGTATCACCAAAAAGTCCATCCCCAGCATCAATGACGATTCACAAAAGCTGCAGTCCTGCACCTCCTTGCTGAACTTTCAGGCAGCTCAGGCAGCTTCTTCTCTATAGTTGTTATTGCTTATACAATCTTGGGAGAAGAGCCTCTTAAATTTCATAGGTTTTAGGAGTTTCCTGAGACTTGTATGTTGGTTTACTTCCTGAGACTTAGTAAGAGGCCTCAGGTTAGAGAAAATTGCTACATAAGCCTCAGGTAATCCTTTGACATACTTTTCCTCCTAAAATTGCCCAACTGTAATCTATCACCAGAAACTGTCTGAGCTGGAGAGATGTCTCAGTGGTTAAGACAATGCACCACTGTAGAAGATACATGTTCTGTTCCTAGCACTCACACTGGGTGATTTACAACCACCAGGTAACTCCAGTTCCAGTATATCCAAAACCTCTAGCATCCACATGCACATACCCCCCCACCAATTAAAAATAGTAAGAGTAAAACTTGAAATAATAGTAATTTTTAATAATTCATTTTTATTTTATGTATATGCATTGGTGTTTTGGATGCATGTGTAGCTGTGTGAGGGTATCAGAATCCCTGGAACTGGAGTTACAGATAGGTGTAAGCTGTTGTGTAGATGCTGGGAATCGAACCGAACCTGGGTTCTCTAGAAGAGCAGCCAGTGCTCTTAACCGCTGAACCACCTCTCTAGCCCCAACAGTAATTTTTAAGTGATCTGTCTTTACCCCTACATATGTAGAAATTCTCCGTGCTTTTGTTCATTGCCAACGCTATACCACCAACCACCTTCCTCATTTACCCCTCTTCTGTTTGCCCCTCATCTAGAACCTTGGAAACCCATTTCCATATTGTAACCCAAACAACAAGCTTAGAATGCTGTCTTGGTCTGTTGTTGTGAATACACACCATGGCCACAGCACCTCTTATAAAGGAGAGCATTTAATCAAGGCCAGTTTACGGTTTCAGAGATTTAGTCCATATTAGGATGGTGGGAAGCAAGGTAGTGCACAGGCAGACCCTGTGCAGGAGGAGCTGAGATCTACATCAGGATCCACAGGCAGCAGGAAGAAGAGAGACAGCTACTTGGCCTGGTTTGAGCATTTGAAACCCCAAAGCCCCACTCCAATGACACACTTCCTCCAACAGGGCCACATGTATTCCAACAAGACCACGCCTCCTAAAATCCCTCTCAAATAGCACCACTCCGTAATGACCAAGCATTCTATGAGGGACATTCCTACTTAAGCCACCACAAATGCCATCCTAGCCGGGCTGCTCTGCTGCTCATGATCCTCAGTGTTCATGGACAGTCCAAACTCCTTAACCAACAAGGAATAGTCTGGGTGTCTCAGTTTCCCCCTCTACACAATGGTAGTGCTGGTCACAGTGGTGTCGGAAGGAATTAGGGAAATACAACATGTACTGGAGAGGATCAGGAACAAGCAATGCTGGGTTGCTGGGCTGATGCATTTTCTTTTCCTGCAGCCTCCTCCTTACCCCTGGTCATGGACTCCATCATACAGGCCCTTGCTGAGCTTGAGCAAAAGGTGCCAGTAACTGAGGCCAGTGGCACTGCCCCTGCACGGATACTGTCAGCCAACCACTTCAGCCCCCACAATTCTCTTCACCAGTACTTGCTGCGGAAGGCACCAAGCCACAACACGACAGAGTCAGAGCTCCACTCACTGAGCCCAGAACTTCAGGCTCTGATTTCAGAGGTGGCTCAACATGATGTACAGGATGGGCAGGAATACGGAGTGGTGCTGGCACCTGATGGCTCCACTGTAGCCGTGAAGCCTCTACTGATTGGGCTAGAGGCTGGTTTGCAGGGGCACGACTGCTTGGCCACCCCTTGTGATGCTGGAGACAACACGACAAACGTTGCAGCCATCTGGCCAGGACTAATGGATGCCTCCACAAAAGCCTCTTCTACAGATGTTGGAGCTACTTCACCAAACGAAAAAGCCAAGACTCCCACCACTGTGGACAGACTCTTGGCACTCATCTTGGCTGGAGACTTGGGTCTGACATTCCTCCACGGTTCCCAGACTCAGAGTTCTCCAGGCCTGGGAACTGAGGGTTGCTGGGACCAGCTTTCTGCCCCCAGGGTCTTCACACTGTTGGACCCCAAGGCATCCAGGCTCACCATGGCTTTCCTCAATGGTGCTTTGGATGGAGCTCTCCTTGGGGATCACTTGAGCCGGGTTTCTAGGCCCCGACCACCCCTCAGCCACCTTCTGAGAGAGTACTATGGCGATGGGGTGGCTGGCGATCCAAAGTTCCGAAGTAACTTCCGAAGGCAGAACGGGGCCGCATTGACTTCCGCTCCTACCCTGGCCCAGCAGGTATGGGAAGCCCTTGTCCAGCTACAGAGACTGGAGCCAAAACAGCCACAGTTGCAGAACATGACCCAAGAAGAGCTGGCTCAGGTGGCTACCCTTGCTACCAAGGAGTTCACTGAGACTTTCCTGGGTAAGGAGCTCCCCTGACTCCTCATAAATAGACACTCCCAGCCCCCTGTGGTGGGTGGGATCAAGGGCCCAGAGAATCCCAAGGGGACAGCAGTGAAGATAGGGACAGCTGCAGAGTCAAAGAAATGCAAGAGTTGGTCCTGAAATGGATAAGAGTTCACCTGATTTAAATTTTTTTAAAGAGGGATTGGGGGTGTAGCTCAGTTGGTAGAGTGTACGCATAAGACTGCATTCAATCCTGTCACCAAGGGAAAATGCACACAGTGATGCATGCTGGCAATCCCAGCTCTTAAGAGGTAGAGGCCAGAGGATCAAGGAATATCAAAGGCAGCCCAGAATATATATTAAAGGGCAGACTGGGCTTCATGAGACCCTGAACTCTAACATCACACACACACACACACACACACACACACACACACACACACAGAGTTGAAAGGAAATACATGGGGATTGATTTTTTTTTTTAACCGATTTTATTGAGACAAGGTCTGCATAGCCCAGGCTGGTCTTGAGCATGCAATCCTGCTTCTTTAATCTCGTCAAATGCTGGGATTAACAGAAATGCACCATCATACTACACTTTTGGTCTTTCTCCTGGAAGTGGCAGAGACATAACAGACTCCAAGACTATGTCTGTCTATCTGTGTCTACCTATAATTTATCTTTTATCTATTTATCTTTATCTATCTATTAATCATCTATCTATCTATCTATCTATCTATCTATCTATCTATCTATCTATCTATCTGTGTGTGCCCTCTGAGTCACCTTCCTGTCCTAAAATTAGACTCTTGCCAATTCCTGGAGACGGGAGGGATGCCCGTAGGTTCACCTTAATAGAGATTCAGTCTTCCAGAATGAAATGCTTGATGATCAGAGTCTCCCTTGCTCCTGAAGGATGCCCAGCCATTCTCCCTCGCTGCCGCTGGGGAGCCGCGCCCTACCGAGGCAACCCGACACCACTCCGGCTGCCCCTCGGATTCTTATATGTGCATCACACATACGTGCCAGCGCCACCCTGCACCACCTTCCAGCGCTGTGCCGCCAACATGCGCTCCATGCAGCGTTTCCACCAGGACGTGCGTCACTGGGATGACATCGGCTACAGGTGAACCTGGCCTAGGCTACTGTGGGAGAGGTTGGAGGGTAGGGAGTAAAACAAGTGGGCGGAGACTGGCAAGTAGAAGAGAGAGTTTGTAGTGGGCGTGGTCAAGAACCAGGATGGGGTGGAGATGAGGAGCAAGGTCCCAGATTGGGATGGAGATATCCCGGCAAGGGATAGAGAGAGGAGAAGAGTGAAAAGGGACTTGACCAGTTTTTCAGAAAAGGTAAAGTTTTTGTTTGTTTTTTGAGACACGGTTTCTCTCTGTAGCCCTTACTGACCTGGAACTCACTCTGTAGGCCAGGGTGGCTTCAAACTCAGAGGTCCAGCTGCCTTTACTCCCGAGTACTGGGATTAAAGGTGTGCACACCCGGCTGCTTTTTGTTTTTCTTCTTTTTCCTTTCTCCTCCTCCTCTTCTTTTTTTAATAAAACAAGGTCTCATAACTGGCCTGGAGCTCGCTATGTGGAAAAAGCTGGCCTCGAACTCATAGAGTTCTGCCTGTTTCTTTCTTTGAATGCTGTGATTAAGGCATTCCACAAGAGAGAACGGATTCTGGGGTGGCACGTGGTGTTCAAATGATACTGAATTGGATGAAACAGAGGCAGTGTACCACACTCGGTGTCATGTGGTACAGACACAGACTCTGGGGGTGTGGCCAGATTGGGACGCAGCCAAGTAAGGTGCTTAACCGCCCTACCCCAACCCCTCCGCAGTTTCGTGGTAGGATCCGACGGCTATGTGTACGAGGGCCGTGGCTGGCACTGGGTGGGCGCACATACACGCGGCCACAACAGTCGCGGTTTCGGCGTGGCCTTCGTGGGCAACTACACTGGGTCACTGCCCAGCGACGCAGCGCTGAAGACGGTTCGCGACGTGCTCCCGAGCTGCGCCATTCGCTCAGGCCACCTGCTGCCAGACTACAAAGTGCTGGGCCACCGCCAGCTCGTGCGCAGCGACTGCCCTGGGAATGCGCTCTTCAACCTGCTGCGCACCTGGCCTCATTTCACCGCGGTGAGTCTGCCTGTCACTGCCCATGGCATCATCTGTCCTGTCTATTCTGAACACACATCTTCAGCCCTGGCCCTGCCCCCAGTCAGCTTGTCTTTTGCTTGACTGCCAACCCCTCTGTTGGCACCCCTCTGATTTATAACCTCAGTCTGACCTTCGTTACACATACCTGTTAGATTACAGACCTCCAGCTGCCCAACTGTCTCCCCCAAATCGGGCCACATCTACCAAAAGTCTCTCGGAAGTTGTAGAGCAGGCCACTGTTGTCTTTCTGATGTTCTCTGACACTCTTGGCCAAGTGTTATGAGAGACTTCCTGAGGGGTCACACCTCAAATAGTAACAATTCTCTACAAAATCCAACTTGGTTGTTTTTATTGGGTTTACTTACAGGAGTACGGATGAGGAGTTCCTTACAGGATCAGGAATGACTTTAAAAACAGCTGTATCAGCTGGGTAGTGGTGGCGCACACCTTTAATCCCAGCACTCGGGAGGCAGAGGCAGGCAGAGATCTCTGTGAGTTCGAGGCCAGACTGGTCTACAAGAGCTAGTTCCAAGACAGGCTCCAAACCTACAGAGAAATTCTGTCTCAAAAACAAATAAACAAAACAAAAACAAAAGCAGCTGCATCATGGGAAGTCACTTCACCATGGGCGATGAATGATGAAAGCTGCAATCCTGAGCCCTCTACACAACTTGTAATCAGCTCACTAGTGAAGAACCCTTCAGGGCAATTTTTGGCAAATGTGTTGTCAGTCCTGTCCCCCATCTTCTCTCGCAGCAGCTGTTTAAGCTTCCGTCTAACCAGCCTTGATGGAGGAACCCTAATTCTTTCCTTGAGGGAATATTTCAATTAATAGGGAATTGCTATATAGCACTAAAGCAATCTTAAATTATAAGTTTATTCTTTTTTCAAAAGGTTTATTTGCAGTGCCTGAGTGTGTGTGTGTGTGTGTGTGTGTGTGTGTGTGTGAAGATCAGAAGTGGAAATCAGAACCCCTGTAGCGGAGTTTACCAACCCTTGTGGCCTTACTTGATGGGTTCTGGGAACAGAACCTGGGTTATCCATGGAAGCAGCAAGGGCTCTTCACTCCTGACCGGCTCTCTACTCCCGACTTTACCTTCTTATTTAAGCCAGGTATGGTGGCTCATGACTTTGATCCCATATTCAGGAGGCAGGGATAGGCAGACCTGTTGAAATAAGAGTGGCGGCGGGGCTGCGTCCCCAACACCCCGGCCACTTGGCTAGCTCATGCCCGAAATAACAACATACAAACTGTACTCAGTTAAACACTGCTTGGCCCATGAACTCTAGCCCTTACAGGCTAATTCTCGCACCTGGACTAGCCCATTTCTAATGATGTGTGTAAGCACCCCCAAGGTGCGCTTACCGGGAAGATTCTAGCCTCCGTCCATCATGGTGTCTCTGCTCCAGCCCAGAGCTGTCAAGTCTCTCCGGGAGCAGAGCAGAGTCTGACCTCACTTCCTCTTCCGCCCAGAATTCTATTCTGTTTACTCCTCCCATCTATGTTCTAACCTATGAGGGCCAAGCAGTTTCTTTATTGCTCAGCCAATGAAATCAACAGATTGATATGACACTCCCACATCACAGACCTCTGAGTTCAAGACCAGACTGGGCTACAGAGCAAGTTCCTGCACAGTAAAACCCTGTCAAAAGAAAAAAAAAGGTTTTGTTTTTCAAGACAGGGTTTCTCAGTGTAGCCCTGGCTGTCCTGGAACTTGCTCTGTAGATCAGGTTGGCCTTGAACTCAGAAAGATTGCGTAACTCTGCCTGATCACCACCCCCCAGCTAACAAAAATCTTCCGGTCTATGCTTGACTGCTTTGCTGACTCTTGGTGGAAGACTGCACGGTGTGAGTCTTCCCTACCTCTCAAGCTCCACATCCACCCCTGAAATATGTCAGAGCCAGGAACTCCTGAGGTTCTTTGGAACTGAAGTTTCTCTCTCTTTAGGGCCTATCATGATTGTTTGCAGCCTGATGCTATTCAGATAAGGCTCTCATCTGAAGAGCAATTTGTCTTAGATCCTCACTACCAAACTTATGGCATCTTTTATTAATTTATAACAAGGTTCGAGACAAAACCCTTCTGCTTACCTTATCCCAGGCCATCCAGCCTAGTACTCACTCCAGCCTCCCATCCAGAAGCTCTCTGTTCACACAACGCTAACCTGAACTGTGTGACCCTTGACCTTAACAGATCGTCTGCATAACCTCAGTCCAGTCCCTACCCCTGCCTTGCTTTCTCTGCTCATCTCAGCCCTAATGGTTCTTGATGGCCTCTAGCTCATGAAGATTCTTGAGATTTTGGTTTTGTTTTGTTTTGTGGGATACCTGCCAAGACTCCTGAAGATTCTTACATTAGAGCAATCTAGACATAGTGAGCACAGTCAGCCTAAAAGCCTAATCCTAAACCGGGCAGTGGTGGCGCACGCCTTTAATCCCAGCACTTGGGAGGCAGAGGCAGGTGGATTTCTGTGAGTTCGTAGCCAGCCTGGTCTACAAGAGCTAGTTCCAGGACAGGCTCCCAAGCTATAGAGAAACCCTGTCTCAAAAATCCAAAAAAAGAAAGAAAGAAAGAAAGAAAGAAAGAAAGAAAGAAAGAAAGAGAAAAAGTCTAACCCTAGCCTCTGATCACACCAGGACAATGCCATTACCTGTGTCTGTTTTGTTTGTTTGATTGGCTGGTTGTGAAACAAAGGCTCGAGGTATAGTCCAGGCTAGCCTTAAACCCATTAGCTCATGTTGACTTCCGCCTCAAGTGCTGAGATTGTAAGGTTTCAAAGTATATCACATCCAACTGCTACTTCCATTTTATCTTCTTTTTAACACATGTCTATGTACGTGTGTGTGTTCTGATGTCTGCTGTTTAAGAGCTACTTCCTGTGTCATCCTCAGGAAAGTCATCTACTTCCTTTGAGAGAAGGGCTGTCATTGACGAGAAGCTCAACAAACAGACTAGGCTTACTGGCTAGTTAGCCCCAAGGGTCCTCTTGTCTCCAGATGGCCAGTGCTGGGATTAAAAGTTTCCACTTTGGCCAGTATCTTTATGTGGGTCCTGGGGATCAAACTCAGGTCTTCACATTTGCAAAGCAAGCACTTTACTGGTTGAGTCATCTCCCACCTGTCATTTGATTTTGAGACAAGGTTTCCCTTTTTGAGGCAAGTTCAGGAGGGATGATTCTGAACTTTTGACCCTCCAGCCCCTACTTATCTTACCACTCATTTTCATTAAGCTATTTATCTGCCCACCCTTGCCTGCAGATGGGTTTGTGATTGATTTGGTTTGCTTGAATTTTGTTTGTTTTAATCGGGACTTGTTATGTAACCTGGATTTGGGGGGGGGGCAAGGTTTCCACCATGTAGCCTCAAACTCATAGAGATCCACGTGTCTCTGCCTCCTAAATTAAAGGCTAAAGGTGTGTGCCATTCACGGGTGGCCCAATGTTAACCTTGAACTTTCAAAATCTCCTCAGTCTCCCAACTGCTCAATTCCCAACTGCCTCAATCTCCCAACTGCTGGGATTACAGATGTTTTCCCACCACACCCAGGTACAACCAGCTTTGTATTCACTCCATCACTATGGGCCCCTATTCCGTCTCATAGCCAAGACTCCATAGCAAGGAGGGCAGACCTAACCATGCATATACCCTAAGTCTCATAGTCTCTTATTTCTTCTAGGCTGAAAACTAAGAACTCCTCTGAGGGAGCCTTGGACATCCAGGAAGCACTATCTCTGATGCTCCTTTGAGCAACCACAGACCACAACCTCCAATAAAGGGACCACTGAAAGGAAGTCTCCATGAGCATCGTCTTACTTTGGCTTTACTCAAAAGTCAACTTGGAGACCAAAACCGAAGCCAAGTGTGTGGCTCAGTGCTAGAGAGTCTAGTTGACAAGAAACCTTTTGTTTCTTTTTTCTTTTTCTTTTGGGTTTTTCGAGATGGGATCTTGTGTCCCTGGCTTTTCTGAAACTCACTCTGTAGGCTAAGCTGCCTTTGAACTCCCAGAGATCCCCCTGACACAGTCTTCTAAGTGCGGGGATTAAAGGCGTGCACCAACACTGCCCAGCCAAGGCTCTTGATCCTGACTCCAGAATGGCAAAATAAATAAAACTGAATATGGGAGCTCGCATCCGTAATCATAGCATTTGGTAGCTAGAGGAAGAAAGATTGCTTTGAAGCTATCATAACAGTGAGTGCTAGAGAGTTAGAATAAAAATGGAGGCAGTTTCTTTTACGGTCTTGCCAAGTCAAATGCCAACAAAAACAGCAAGCATGTTTTGTTAGGGGGAAAACTGTCTCTTTTTTTATGATTCTATTCATTCTAGATTCTATTTCCCCTTTTTTTTCAGTGTACAGTCTTAGTCATAATGTAGCAAGCTGCCTGTATTGCCAATCCCAAGATAACCTTTGGTTTGAAAAGGTTAGCTCAAAGGTCAAACAAAAAGGCACAAGCTATTAGGAAAAGGAACCCAATGCCTCTTACATACCTAAAACCAAAGCCCATCTAAGGGACTTTTGTGTTGAAAATGAACCACTGTATTTTGTTTCCCACCAAGGTTCTAACCTCTACCACGGAATCAAGAAAACAAAAACAAATAAATGAATTTTAGTATAAAATATGAATTGGAGGCAACCCTAGAACTTCCTGTTGGGAGATGAGAAATTGAAGCCTGGAGGAAAAGTAACCAGAGAAAGCAGTGTTTAAAAAAAAAAAAAAAAAACAGGTTTCTGGGGGCTGGAGAGATGGCTCAGCCATTAAAAGCACTGGTTGCTTTTCCAGAGGCACTGAGTTCAATTCCCAGCTACCACATGGTGGCTCACAACAAACTCTAATAAGATCTGACGCCCTCTTCTGCTGTGCAAGTATACATGCAGACTGAACACTGCATACAATAATAAATAAATAAATCTTGGGGGGAAAAAAGCAGGTTTCCACCTCATGGTGGTGGCACATGCCTTTAATCTTAATCTTAGCCCTTGTTAATCAGAGGCAGGCAGATCTCTGTGAGCTCGACGCCAGCCTGGTCTTCGAAGTGAATTCCAGGACAGTCAGGGCTACGCAGTGAGACCCTGTCTCCAAAAACAGAACAACAACAACAACAACAACAAAAAGCAGATTCCCACCACAGACCATCAGAACTCAGTTCTACAGGAAGACAGCATCGAACATACCCTTTACTGCCATCCCTGAGTGCAGGAGACAGAGATTCTGGGTCAATGGTAGAGGGCCCCTCTCAGGGACTGTTAACTCAACAGCACATTGGGATTATTTGTCACATGGTGGACAGATTGGACCCCATGTCCTAAAAAAAATTCTGCAACAAATTTGAAGCCTGAGACCGTAGCTCAGGGACACGGTGCTTTCACAGTGTATTGAGGGCCCTGGGTTTCATCTCCAGTACTAGAAAAAAGGAAGGAGAAAGTAAGAAAAGAAAATGTTGGGAGCAGGCTGGGTATGCAGCAAAATAATAAAACTGAAGAATTCTGGAGATACCTCAGCAGATAAGCCTAAGGATCTGAGTTCGAATCCCCACTACTCATATAATAACACTGGGTGACGCCAAATACTCCCTTAACCCCAGTGCTGTAAAGGAAGACTGCTGAGGCTTGCTGCCTGCCAGCCAAGATCCAAGCCTGGTGAGCAATCCTGTCTCAAGGAAAACAGGTAGAGGGTGTAGAGGAGAACACTTGACAGCATCCTTGTCTGAACTCCATGAACGAATGCCACTCCCCAGTTTGGCAGAACACAGTGAGTCGCCTGAATGAGGTGGGCCTGTCTAAAGTAGGCACATAGGAGAATAGAAATATCTGCTCTATAGGACAGTTGTTGGCTGTCACTAACTGCACCACCCTCTTCATTACGCTGAGAACACAGTTCAGAGGTCAATGTCTGCCTAGGATATTTGAGGCCCGGAGTTCCAGCTCCAGCACTGCAAATAAAAAGCCTCCCAGTTTGATTCATTCTCCATTGTAGGAATACTCCATAACGTCACACTGCACCTTATAAATTATCATTTTAATAAAAATATGGCTGGGTAAGGGAGCACACATTTTTACTTTCAGCTTTTGGGAGTCGGAGGTAGGCGTTGTTCTGTGAGTTTGAAGCCATCCTGGTCTATACTGCAAGTTCCAGCCCAGCTAGGGCTACCTAGTGAGACCCTATCTCAAAAATTAATTAACTTAAACTTTAAAAAATAGGAATTAGCACAAAGCCTTTAATCCCAGCATTTGGGAATCAGAGACAGGTAGATTTTAGGCTAGCCTGACCTACATAACAAGATCAAGGACAGCCAGAGTTAAAGAAACCCAGCCTAGAAAAAAAATCAAAATAAATAGATAAATAAGATAAAACCAGAGCTGAGGGTGCAGCACAGTTATAGAGGGAGGGCCTGAGTTCCTTCTGCATCCACACTGCAGAGACTAGGCATGATGCTGTATACCTGTAATTCCAAGGCTCGGGGCAGAGAGCATAAGAATCAGGAACGCATGGTCAGCCTCCGATGTATAGCAAATTCAAGACCAGCCTGGGAATACATGAGACCTACTCTCAAAAATATGTGTAAATAAGAGCTAGAGCCATAACTCAGTGTTTACGAGTACTTACTGCTCGTTCAGAGTTCAGTTCCCAGGACCCACACAGTTCTTCACAACTGTCTGAAACTGTCTTTGATCCCAGGGGATTCAATACCGTCTTTTGACCTCCATGGTCAGCAGACACACACGTGGTACTCATGCATACATGAAGGCAACAAACAAAAGCTCTCATATACATAAGAATAATCTTTTTTTTAAAGACGGGGTTTTTCTGTGTAGCCCTGGCTGTCCTGGAACTCGCTCTGTAGACCAGGCTGGGCTCAAACTCACAGAGATCCATCTGCCTCTTCCTCCCAAGTGCTGGGACTAAAGGTGTGTGCCACCACCACCTTACCACAATGTCCCCTTTTCGAAGCAAGAGTTTCAGTACAGGCACAGTAAAGGAGAGCATTAACCCAAGAGTGAGACCTCAGAGTCTGGGCACCTAGTGACTGCCAACACTATATGACCACGGAGCCACCCTTATTCTTCCCACTCCGTGAGTCCAACTCCCCACACACACTATGTAGCCCAGGCTGGCTTCAAATTCGTGGCATGCAATCTTCCTGTGTGCGCCTAACCAGTCCTAGGATTACACGCGTGCATTGCCCCATGGATTCTTGATATCCTTGCCTTCGCCCAAAGTGTACCTTCTACTTGGTACAATCTTCTGTTTTCCTCTCATGCTTCAGCTTGCAAAAGTTACCTCCCTAGAGAAGCCTTCCCTGATTTTTCCATCCTGGGAAGAGTGGCATTTCTGTTCAACTGGACATCCTCCATCCAGTATATCTCCTCTCCGTCTTCTACACAAATTCACAACGTCCCACTGAATTCAGGACCTGTCCCCCTCCCCAGAATGTGAGTAGCAGGAGAACAGAAATCACTTTTATTTATTCTCCCTCCCCACTCCATCTAGCACACAGTCAGCACTCAGGAAACAACTTTTTTAGCAGCCGGGCGGTGGTGGCGCATGCCTTTAATCCCAGCACTCGGGAGGCAGAGGCAGGCGGATCTCTGTGAGTTTGAGACCAGCCTGGTCTACAGAGATAGTTCCAGGACAGGCTCCAAAACCACAGAGAAACCCTGTCTCAAAAACCAAAAAAAAAAAAAACTTTTTTAGCTGGGTGGTGATGGCACATGCTTTTAATCTCAGCACTCAGGAGGCAGAGGCAGGCAGATCTCTGTGACTTCGAGGCCGGCCTGGTCTACAGAGCTGGTTCCAGGACAACCAGTGCTGCTACACAGAGAAATCCTGTCTTAAAAAAAATTAATTGTGTGTATCTGTGTACAGATATGTGCACTTGCAGCACTTAGTGTAAGTACACTCAAAAGCCAAACCTGAAGCTTCAGGTCATGTGGAGCTGGACATACAGGTGGCTGTGAGCTACCCAGGCCATACCATTTCCTGCTTAACCTCAGAGTCATCTCTCCAGCCTTGAATGTGAGCTTTTTGAGACCGATACCATCATCCTTTACAAATAAGGAAGCTCAGAGAGAGGAAATGACTTGTCTGAGGTCACAGTGAGAAAGAGGGTAGCCAGCACTCCAACCTGGGTCAGAACGATGCTGACTCACTATTGCCAGGACATTTGCCCATTTCTTTTTTTGTTAAATTTTTATTGCATTTTATTTATTTTGTCTGTGCATGTGTACACATGGGCATGTGTCATGAAGAAGAACAGAAGGGTCAGAGGACAACTTGTGAGCATTGGCTATCTCCTTCTACCATGTGGGTCCCAGGGAAGCACCTTTTATTCACTGAGTTATGGTGATAGCCCCTCCTCTTTTTCAAGTAAATACTTATGAAAACATCAAAGATGCTGACTAGATAGTGCACCAAAATTCACTTCGAAGAGATTTCACAACAGAACATACCCAAGTCACCAGCACTGTCATAAACAGAGCATGTTAAATTCATGTTGTATGAATTTTACTCGCTGTTAAAAAATAAATCTGGGACGGGAGCTAGAGAAATGGCTCCGTGGTTGAGAGAACATACTACTAAACCCGAGTTTAGTTCTCGGCACTGCCGGGCAGCTAATAAACAGCTGTGACTACAGCGCCAGGAGACTCCAATGCATCTGGCCTCTCTGGAGACACACACACTCTCACACACACACAGACACACATGCACACACATTCATGCACATAGATGCACACATACACTCACACACAGAGACACACACATGTACACACACACACACACAATACATACACGGTGGGGGTGCATTTTAATACTGATCACGGTGATTAATCTCAGCATTCAGGACACTGAAGCAGGAAGATCAAAGGTTCAAGACCAGCCTGGGATACATAGAAGATTCTGTGGAAAGAAAAACATTCGGGCTAAAAATATAGATCAGTTGACAAAGCATTTGTCTAACATAAACGAAACCCTGGGTTCAAGTGGGGAAATAAATCAAATTAAACCAAACAAACAAATAAAACAGGGTGGATATCTAGTGCACACCTATAACCCCAGCACTTGGGAGGCAAGGACAGGAGGATCAAAAATTTAAGACCAGCCTTGTCTACATACCAAGTTCCAGGCCAG